ACAAGCTCTTGTCAAAAATGGGTTCGAAAGAAGGTACACAGACTCTCATTATGGCTTTGTGTTATTTGAGAATTGGGACTATGCTGCCTGGCCATCTCTCATATAACCTATAAAAGGTGAATAGAGTTTTTCATTTTGTTCCAATTGCATTAAAGAACCTGAGACTCTTTCTGTAAGTGTTGTGTTTTTAATTTTTTGTTTTGACCTTTATTTTTTAAGCTGGTTGAAATCTACCCTTCTATTATTATTATTATTATTATTAACTGGGGTTATTTGTTTCCCCTGAGAAAATTCACCATGCTGTGTGGAGTACAAGTGAGGGCCTAGGTAGCTCCAAAAGTCGTATTTCAGATCCCATCATGGCAGGTGGAGTAAAGAAGAATAACTTGGGGGTTGGTGCTCACCAGCCTGGAGAGGTGACCCCGTATGATGATATATACGAGCAGTGTAGGAAGAGGATGATGCTTGGTTATAAAAACAAACCAAACCCTCTGGTATTGATTCTTTCTTTTTGACAAACCAATCGTGTCTGCCATGATTGATGCCTTGAACACAATCAATTATATTAATTTAAGGCAAGGGGTTTTATGTTTTTTTGGTTTGAGCAGAACAACCCTCGAAAAGAATACTGCTGAAAGCTAAGCTAGCTGTCTGGTTGTGGAGCAGCAATTAGAAAATTAAAGGATCTGTTGTTTTTTCGGAGTGGATGACGTTGCTGTTAGACTGATTCCGTAAAATAGAGTGTTAAATGGAATATATTTTTAATTAGCAAATATTTAGTGTGTGTATATATACACACATATATATATATATATGTTATCAAAGTGCAAGGCAGCAGAGATCAGAATGTGGCATATTACATATATATTATTACTAAGAAGTTTAAAAAAAAAAGGCTTTTGGTTTGTTGGGATCTTGGGTAATGGTATGGCAAATTGGCAATGGCAGGGGCCATCTGAGAGATTGTAATTATTAAGTTGACTCAACGGCAACAGTGTTGGGTTGGGGACCATTGAAATGCCCGAATCCTGAAAAACCGAAATAAATAAATCTGGAAGGCATAAATAAAATTCTATGAATGAATGGCATCTTTGTATCCGTCATCCATAAGAATAGGAATAGGATTTAGGGATGATTTAAGCACTAAAGTTTGCTCTGTTTCTATCGGGCAAAGCAGAGCAAATCAGCAATTGGTAGCTGGTGATGAATATGTCAATCATTCGTTCTTCATTTCATCCACATAAACAACAGCATATATTCCTCATCAGATTGTATAAGATTAGGTTTGCAGTATGCTTTTCTCTCCCCCTAAAGAGAGGGTACTCTTCTTCATTCGACTTGAGTAATGGTAGAGATTCTAGATTCATCATTTGGTTTAATTTACCTAATAATAATTAAGTAAAATTTAGGTTAGGGAAAAAGGGCTTAACTATCTTCTAATTAAGTAATTCCTATTACTGTATCTAGGATTAGGGAATTCAATATCCAACTGGCCAGCATTGGAGTTTTGGAGGGGCTTTATTTTATTATTAGTTTACATGTATCATAGACCTTTAATAATACTACTACTTAATAATAATACTAATAATAGACTACAGATTGTCCAGTTTGCAAGCAAGCAATTGCAAACAAGTTGTCTTAATGCCAATATATATAAATATATTATATAAATTCCCCATCCATATCTTTAAGGGTACATTTACCTTTCAATTAATCTCAAATTTTGGTTTTGAGATTGGGGATCCAATAAAAATGTGTTCATATACACACACATGATTACACGAGAGAATGAGTATGTGATTGGGGTATTCTATTTTTGTCTACGTAGATAATAAAGTCTGATCTTCATCATCATTTTTTTTTTTTTTGGGTGGGGGGGCGCTTGATATGGATAGGGATGAAGATATTCCCTCGATCTTGGTTAGAAAGCCTCCTTCCTCCTAGTTTTTATCATCCAACTATATATATATATGTGTATATATATATGCATCCATAATCGAATCACATTATTTATAATATTAATCAGTGCACATCACGCGTACATGTGAAAAAAACATTTGCACAATATTGATGTTAGAAATTTTATTAGGAAAATAATTGATATATTTTTTTATTTAAAACATTTATTAAAACTCACTAGTTCAATTGATATATTTATGCATGTGGGGGGATGTTTGTTTTTGTCACTGTTAATTGGTATATATTAGAACATATACTTCAGTTCTTCATCATCTCTTCCATCTTTCAAAGGTTGCAGTCTTCTGTATGTACTGTACAAATGCAATCCTGTTTTTAGTTTGTCATTTATGATCTTATCTAGCATTTGAATGGGTATTTAAATTTTCAACTAGCAAGTATTATCTCTAATTACCTTGTGTTTTTTCCTTGAAACGTGTATGGTTGAAAGAAAATAAAAGGGAAGATAATTATTTTTGTCCAATTAAATTAATTAAGAAGATAGACTAAAGTGTTAATTTAATTGAATAGAAGTTTTTTTTTTTTTTCAAACCAAACACGCTTTTAATTAATGAAAATATTAATTAAACGGATAAGGTTGCGTAACAGAACATTAGAAAAACCCTTTACTCTATAATAATATCGTCATAATCATATTAAAGATTGTTTATAAGAGACAAAAGCACAGGTTATGTAAAAAGTGTAAAAAGCTGACTTGTCCCGTAAGAGTTGTGAAAAGTCAAAGTTCTGTCCTCTTCTAAGTCGACGGGTTGGGTTGGGTTGGATTGATGAATGTGTGTATGATTTTTTTTTTTTTTTTTAATTTGGATTCAAGGTATTTTAAATTGTATCTAAATTTTATGGTTCAATAATTATATATATCTTCTTAAGAAGTACTATTCAACTTTAAAAAAAATAGTTTTTATATATTTTAATGTTTTATTGAGTAATTTTAAAAATGTACTTATATATTAATATAGTAAATTTAAAGAAAATAATTTTTTATGAGAAATAATAAAATATATTAAATAATAAAAAATTACAAATAAAATCTCTATCTCATGATATATAGCCAAAATCAAAATAACTTTAAGAAAAAAATCAACAGCATAATTTACAGTATTAGTAACAAACTTAAATTATACCTATAATAAATATAAACTATTAAGCAAAAAGAGTCATCTACAATTAGAAATTGAATTTACAATCACTGTATGAGTTAAATAGGATTATTAATGTAAAAAAGGGAGTCACTATACATCCTCACCTATTTAACCAGCTTCTTGGGAAGAGTAAGGGATTTCGACAACAAACAGTTCTCAATCCACAAGTTGCCGTCTTACTTATTCTTAAACAAAACAACCAAGAAGAGTATGGGTCTTTTCTTGACAAGCATAAGGTCCCCCAATCGCCTACATATACTCCCAATCATATTTCCATCTTTGCCGATCCTCTTCAAACCCATGCTGTCATCACTCATTAAGGGACTTAAAGCCCCTTTGCTAGCTTAAAAATCAAAATTCCCACGCAAACCATAACCAACCTTACCAACAACATCCCTTTCCTTCAGCAATCAGCTAATTGATCAGGAACTGTTGTGAACCAAGTTCACCAAATTTGACCTTCGCCAAATTTGACCCCCACCAAAATTCCATCCGAGGAGATACACCAAAGCAAGATTTTTGTCACGTTAAATAGGAGAAACCCACTTGATTGGCAAGATCAATTCTAATCGCAACCTTCAAAAATCAATAGATGTAAACCTTAAAAAACCTAAAAAGCTGCTGCCTTGTGGTCCCTTAGGTTGGAGTTTCCAAAGTAAGACAACGACAAGAGGAAAGAGAAGATCAGGAGGAAAGAGGAGTTCAAGAGGAGGAAAGAGGAGTTCAAGAGGAGGAAGAGAGGGGTAAGAAGAAAGGAGGGATGAAGGAACTCTTATGTTGAAGAAAAACCCAAGAAAGAAAACCCATCGCCATTGCTCTTAACTTTAGAAGTAGTGCACAGGAGAAACCTAGGGAGGCCAATAATACCTTTCTTTTTTATTTTTTAGATATTAGTTTTAATTTACATCTGTTTTACAGGATGGCACCTAGAAAAATATGTGGGGTTGAATGAATATATAATATGGTGACAAGCAATAGCAAATATTAATTAAAGTTATATGAATACCGCCACTAGGGGGATCAAAACCAGGAGCTTGCAGTTGAAATTAGAAGGTTAGGTGTGTAGGTAGAGATGGAAAAATGAATTCTGCTACTGTACTTACAAGTTACAACATATATCTGTCTCTTTCTGTTCTTTTTTGATTCACAAGGCGGAGGGGAAGGCTGGGTTGAGATTCAAATCCTTAACACGACATTACTATTTAATGGTACTTATCCTCTCCATAAAACATCTGTCTTAGTAAAATCTTATATATTAGGGAGTGGTGTTTACATTTTGACTGAAGCAAACATTTGAAACGTCAACCCAACGCTGCAGTGCAGTCCCCTCACTCCTTCTTTCTTTCTTGCTTTCTCCAGTCTTGACCCACAAGCTAAGCATCATTCTGGGTCACGGACTCACGGCACGGACCACATCCCTACTAATGGCATTTCTGTTATAACCACACAACACAAAGCCTGTTTCTGAATGGTATTAGTTTTTAAGAGCGTGTCTGTCTGTCTTAAGTTGAGACTCAGCCTCCTCAGGGAGATACAGAGACAAAGCGCCAGTTGATTGATTTCACCTGCCGGAAAAACACTCGATCGTTTACATACATACCCGCCCACTAACTATCATAAGGTACTTTTTTCTTTATGAGATTTTGGAAATCAAATGATTTCATCTTCCATTTTTTAATTCCTCTGCACTCCATATATTTGTCTTTCTTCACAATTTGAAACTACTTTCTTAAGAATTCTTCGCAAAGGCTAGACAATGATTCTAATTTTAAGCCCAAGCAAAGCTAAGCTGCTTCACTTTCCTTCCACACTTTTCACCCCCCTCCTTCTTTTTCTGTTCTGTTCATCTTGTGTTTGTATAATTGGCTGAGTTAAAAAGAGCTTATATATCTTCAAGTTTGAGATGTATGCATTAATTCAAGCAGTTTTAATGATGTACTACTATTTTGGGTTTCCGCAGGGCAGGAATCTTCAGAAAGCATGAGTCTTTTATACACTAGTTCTAATTTCAGCTATGCAGATGTGGAATTCAGAAAGAGCCTGGAATTCCTTGATCACTCCAATCACTATCATCAACAACACTACCGCTCTACTACTCCTGAAACTGAAACTGAAACCTTTTTATCAAAATACATGATGTTACCTTCTAATGGTTTACCTAATTGTGATTCTGCTTCTCATGATATTCAACAATTTGGACACAAAGCTGTGAAGCAAGAAACCACGGACTCCTTGTCTCACCAGAATGGATATTCTAATGGTTCGCGAATGATGCTTCTTCAAGGCTCAGATTCAGATTCAGCAGGAGATGGTAATACCATGGACACTCCTTTCATTGGATTCGAGAATTCGATGCCAGGGGAAATGACTACTGGAAATGCTTCCGCTCTTCTTCGGCACAGCAGCTCCCCTGCAGAATTTTTCTCCAACTTTGGCGTTGAAAATGGTACCATTGAATTTCTCTGTTTATTATTATTCTCTCTCTCTCTCTCTCTCTCTCAATCAATCAATCAATATTATTATTGTTTTTTTCTTTTTAAATTTTTGTTAACCTCTATGTTTGTTGAGAAAGTTGTTAAATTGTAGTTTAAATGTCGTGGGAATTGAATTTTTTTAGAATTTTATACTATCTTATAACTTCTATTGATTACGAATTCTTTAAAATGAGGGGGGAAATAAAAAAGTAGAGTGCTTTTACAAGGGAAGCTTATAAATAAAGAATTGCTTAATACAAGTTTTTGGTGGAAGCAAGGATTGATCTCTGAAACTTCTCCTTCTGCAAAGAGAGTTGACTTTTGGAGTTTTTCCACTTTTCTTTATTTTATTTCCCTATTTTTCTCTCTATGTCTGGTTTACCATTCAAACTCAACTCAAGGGAGGGGAAAATGAGAAAGAAGATGAGTACTTTTGGATTGGTGAAGGGAATCAATACAAAATTCCTGCCATAATTCCTTTTGATTGTGTGCAATAACTCTTTTTTTTTTTTTTTTTGGTCGTAAATTTATAAGCCCATCATATGAGAAGTTTATTAATTTTTATATTTGATGATGCTGTGAAAATAGCTGGATTAATTGCCCCTGTAAATCTTAATGATAAACAGGTTTAAGTTTCAGAGCTAGCAGTGGTACTAACAATGAAGCCGGTCCGTCACCTAGTAGGTTATATAATCACTTGGACTACTTCTTCTCATCTGGGCCATCTTCACATTCAATGCCCATGTCTCAGACTACTGAAAGTGAGAACCAAGGCATAAGGGTGAATAATGGAGGCTTAAGCAATAGTTGTGGCAGCAAAATACCGTTCATCATGTCTACAATGGCAAGTGATTCATGGCAAAATGCTTCCCTCAGTGGGCAGAAGAGAGCCAGGGGAACTGAAGAAGGGAGCTTGTTCTGTCGTGACGGTTCAAGAACTTCACCAGCACAGGTTGCAATTCAAACTCATTGTTTGAAATTCCTTCATTGTGCTTATGCTTGTATGGTGATTAATGACTAATTGTTATCACAAAATGTTATCAGAATGGGGATTCTAGAGACCGCGCTTCTGTTTTAACACACCACTTGAGTTTGCCTAAGACTTTTGGTGAGATGGGTGCTATAGAGAAGATATTTCAGTTTCAAAGTCACGTTCCTTGTAAGATTCGTGCCAAAAGAGGCTGCGCTACTCACCCGCGTAGCATTGCAGAGAGGGTATATATGTACATATGTCTCCTGTTCTAATTACGACTTAATTATCTCTTAATTGTTCACGAGGATGATATATAAGCCTGATATTTAAATCATCTTCAAGGATCATTGGTGAAATAGATTCAAAAATTTCAGGTGAGAAGATCGCGGATTAGTGAAAGAATGAGGAAACTTCAAGACCTTTTTCCGGACTTGGACAAGGTATTTCAGTTCTGACTCCAAAGCTCTCACTCAATGCACGTTCGTTCGTTGGTTTACTTTATTTTAACTAGTCTAGTCTAGAGGAAGTCATGTTTTACATTAATTATTTCTATTTTATTCTGTATCTACAGCAAACAAACACGGCAGATATGTTAGATATGGCAGTTGAGTACATTAAAGATCTTCAAAAGCAAGTAAAGGTACATAAAAGACGAATGCTACCTTGAAAAAGTTTCACATGAAAACTCTCATCTTTTCTCACCAGTTTTCATGACTTCCATGCAGGCACTCACGGATACTAAAGCTAAGTGCAGGTGTTCAAGTAAACAAAAACATTACTCAATTGCTTCTGCCTGAGTTGGGTTTTGTCCAGATTGCAAAAGGAAGTTGGGAAAGTCTAATCTATAATTATGTTTCGTTGAAAAAATACCAGCTGGAACATATATATATATTATATGTGTGAGTTAATTAGATTGCTACTGTATATTCACGTGGAATTGACGTAGTCAGTTTTCTCTTTCATCAAGAAATACTGCTAAAAGGAATAAAGATGCCTTCACCGTATGGCTGAAATGAAATTTTTGTTAATTACAGTGTTTTTTTGAACTTTTTGTTAATTTCAGTTAGTACTACTACATTACTACTCTACTCTCCTATCCTGTATTAGGCTTTGCAAAAACCAAAAAAATATAAATCCTTACGTTAATTAGCTCCTGCCTCTGCTACTGAGCCACCATGATGTGATGACAATTCCTTGTATGTCTTTGGACGAAACCCTTATCCCTGATCCGTCTGTCTTTGCAATTCTCATTACTTAGCTGAAG